TGTGCTTACCAACTTTACACCGGAAGAATTTGAGGTGACATTCAACGACTTACCTTTGCGCGGACCAATTTCCACGTGACGTTGTTTCTGCTGCACGTCGAGGACAATGACCACTATCGCGCTGTCATGGCTCGCTACAAGAGCATGGCAGCTGAGAATGCATCAAAGCTAGCTGCATCTCAGCGCCGGTACCTTCAGCGTCGCGCAGAACGATTCGCGACTGAGACTGCTCGCGCAAACAGTACCGCTCGTGGTGCTTTCTTGTCTCCCATGGCTAGTGGTCGTCGCTGAAAATTCAATTAAAATTTAATAAAATCACTTGAATTTTGTATATAATCCAAGATTCCAATACACTCAGTTTTCACAAACTATTGAGTTTTTTCGGAAATGATGGACACATTTCGAAATAACACAGTCATACCCCAATTACAAGGACAATGCAGATATGACAGAGTAAGTTGTCAGTAGCGGAAGTATACAAGATAGACTCATCACTTCGAAAATATTCACAGTCTTCCGAAACTTGTGATGAACTGGTTTGGTGACCTACTATGAAAGTAATGCAATGGTGGTCAAGGGCCGTTTTATCGTCGCCAGGCGGCACTGTGTGGCATTGTGAACACGTTGCAACCTCCTTCGGCTTGTTCCATCGTGCCGAGGACACCTTGCCTCCTTTGCCAACTACGTTTACGTCAAGCACGTTGACCATAGACGTTGAATTCAATTGCTGCGTCGTTCTCTCCACAAGTATCCAGTGTCACAAGATCGCAGGACACGATTCTAACCTTCCTCACAGAGGTCGACACGTACGAGGGGCCAACGGATAATCTATAATCTCTAAGAATTTCCTGATGCCACCCGAAAGCATACGACACTCCGGCGATCTATTCTGTCAGGATGAGCAACATGTATTATCAAGAATATCAAGGCATAGAGGTAGTCGCAAGGCTAAGCTTCCATGGCTTGAACTCTCAGAGGAGTTTGTGGTGTCCACAGCATTGTCCACAGCAAGTATATGGGCATGCAAT